CACACACACACAATATATATATATACGTACGCACACACACACAATATATATATATATATAGTATGTGTATATATGAGATGGTCGAGCATTTTGCACGCGATGCCTTATGCGAGTGCAGTTTCAAGTACCGGTTCCTCTTGCTACTTGTTGTGTGTGCTTCGTAGTGTGGTTGTTCTCATTCAATCCACAAATGACGTGTGGTGAGGGCTGCCGTATTGATCTGAACCATAACTTCATATTAATCCGTATTGTAACTTGGAACATCATTGCCCTAAAATATAATGTATTTCTCATCTTCGATATTGATTGTGGATATGTGTAGAAGAGTGTCCGGTGCCAGCCTGACCGAGCCATCTATTTATAGATTCGTGGACGAAGTCGAAATTCTACCTACCAACACCCGGCCAAAGAAGATCAAATTATGGGGCTCTGATGGGGCTCTGTACACATACCTGTACAAGGGTGTGGAAGATATGCACTTAGATCAAAGGCAAGTGACGCATGCGTAGATAGGCACGAGTCTCTCTATCTCTCTGTGTAAAACAAAATAAGTGATTGTACATATGTGACTGTTTAGAGCAGACAGAATTGAGTCCATGGCTGGTGCAGTATAAGCCGTTCTTGTCTTTCAATTGTCGGAGAGTCCTGTCCTTTCTGGTGTAGTGGTGGGGTGGCCCGTGGTCTTCAAGTATTGTAGTACACTGTTGTGCGTTGCAGTCTGTGTGACAGTACACGCACGAGTGAACTCTCGTAAATACTTTGTTCGTTCTTGACACAACACAAAACAGGATTATGCAGTTTCTGCGTGTAGTCAACACCCTCCTTGGCGACACCACGCTCTCATCTGCCGGTGGCCTGGCTGGTCGTCTTGGCAACGGTAGCCATGGCAACGAGCAGGATTCGCTCCTGTCCAACTTGTCGTCCAATCTGCTCTACACGAACACATACGCAGTAACTCCACTGGGCGAACGCTGCGGACTGATTCAGTGGGTGGATGGAGCTGTGCCCCTGTATTCACTCTATCGCAGATTCCAGCAACGAGGTGAGTACTTGCATATGTGGATGAATGTGCGTGTCTCTGCGCATACATGATATATATATATATATCTACTCGTAACAACGAAGTCCATTCGAAGCGTAGGTGAAAGAGTTGTATTAGATATAGAATAAGAGCTTACAACTAAAGAACGAATTACCCCGTCACTCACAATGCCTACCAATGCTCTCGTCTGAGTGGATGCATTGTTGCTCATGTAGGTACAATACATGATGTCACTGCTTAAATAGGTATTTAAGCACTTGGATACCGACGACCTTGGGTTTTTGGTTTTAAGGTTTGGGAGCCCTATGTGCTTCTCCATACAGTTTCCAACCCGTTTAACTTTCTTGAAAGATACATACAATGTCATACAAATGTTATACTATATCATATACAATGTCATACACGTGCTATTCTATAGCACGTACTTGCCTAATATTGTTTTCTCCGTACTACCCTCAGAAAAAGTTCAACCACACTGACAATCCCAGACTCAATCCATCGACCAATAGGAATCGCTTGTGGCACCATCCCCTCCACCGCCGCCTTGCGTCCGTCCGAACAATTCTGGTCACTCGTGGGGCCCGCGCTAGACAAAAGCGGGACGTCCCGGAATAAGAGCCGAGACAAGTGGCCGCAGGGAGTGCTATACAATGCCTTTTGTGAATTAGCTAAGACTGTGCCGGACTCACTGGTACACAATGAGATGTTCACCCGTGCAGCGACACCTGCTGACTGGCGGAGGGTATGGACAATCTGTATGCATGTATGCCTATATGTATACATGTATGCATGTATGTATATATGCATGTATGTTTGTGTGTATATTTGCATGTATGTATGAATGTATGTTTATGTGTATGTATGTATGTATATATGTATGTATCTATGCAGGCATGCATGCATGTATACATGTATGTGTGCATGTGTGCATGCATGTATGCATGTATGTATGTATGTATACATGTATGTACATATATATATACGTGTACATATGATATGTCTACGTTTGTATGCAAGTATATTTTGGTGACGTATTTGGCATGTACAATAAGCCATGTGGAGTATGGTACATGTCCATTTCACGGTGTACAGTCAAGCGTGCTGCTGAGCAATGTACACACAACTAAATACCTTATAACCCAAAGTACAATGGAAGATACTGCCGTATAGTAACGCATCTACAGCACAGTCCGTATTAAAAAAACCGAACTCACTCACAATCAGTAGACTAAGTGTACCCATACATCAGGTGCAAACACACACACACACACACGCACACACACACACACACACACACACACACACACACGACACCTCT